CAAAAATATTGCCTCCTCTCACAGTTTTCTTCATAATTTTTATGCTCTACATGTAATAGAAGGTTGGAAGACTTCATTTTCAGAAAAAAAGAGAAAGGAAAACTGGAATGAACTTTAAAAGGTCTCAAATCAACTCCTCTACCTTTCAAAAACCTGAAAATGTTTTCCAGGGCTGGGCACAGTGACTCACACCTGTAATCCTAGCACTTTGGGAGGCCAAGGTGGCCCGATCACGAGGTCAGGAGTTTGAGACCAGCCTGGCCAATACAGTCTCTACTAAAAATACAAAAATTATTATATCTGAGAGCCTAGAGTTAAAAAGAAAAAAAAAAAACAAAACAAAAATTAGTTGGGCATAGTTGCGCGCACCTGTAGCCCCAGCTACTCAGGAGGCTGAGGCAGGAGAATCGCCTGAATGTGGAAGGCAGAGGTTGCTGTGAGCAGAGATCATGCCACTACATTCCAGCCTGGTGACAGATCGAGACTCCATCTCAAAAAAAAGAAGAAAAAAAAAAAAAAAAAACAAAAAAAAAAAAAAAAAAAAAAAAAAAAAAAAAAACTAAATCCACATGTTAATAGTGAAAACATTTTGCTAGGGTTACTAAAATAGCTACAGAGGTTGAAGCTCAAGTCACACATGGAAAGACTTCCCTAGAGATAGTCAACATAAGCTTATGTCTTCTCTGTACACTAAAAAAAACGAATCTGTTCACAACTTTTTTTTTTTTTTTTGAGATGGAGTCTCCCTCCGCTGCTAGGATGGAGTGCAGTGGCCTGATCTCGGCTCACTGCAACCTCTGCCTCCCAGGTTCAAGGGATTCTCCTGCCTCAGCCTCCTGAGGAGCTGGGACTGCAGACACCACCACACCCAGCTAATTTCTGTATTTTTAGTAGAGACGGGGTTTCACCATGTTGGCCAGTATGGTCTCAATCTCTTGACCTCGTGATCTGCCCACCTCCGCCTCCCAAAGTGCTAGGATGTTCACAACTATTATAAAGAAACAAATGTAAACAAACTTTAAACAATTATAATGAAAACAGAAAAAACTAAAAAAGTATAGGTAGCTAAGTACATTTTTAACCCAATAAATAAAAGAAGTCAGCAGCGGTTCCCAATATTGATCCATGATAAAATTTTTAGCAGTTGGCAGGCATGGTGGCTCATATCTGTAATCCTAGCACTTTGGGAGGCTGAAGTGGGACAATTACCTGAGGTTAGAGTTCGAGACCAGCCTGGCCAACATGGCGGAACCCCATTAAAAATACAAATACATTCCATTAAAAATACAAAAATTATCCGGGCATGGTGGAGGGCACCTATAATCCCTACTTGGGAAGCTGACGCTGAGGCAGGAGAATCACTTGAACCCGGGGTGGGGGGGGGGGCAGCAGAGGTTGCAGTGAGCTGAGATCATGCCACTTCACTCCAACCTGAGTGAAAGTGGGAAACTCATTTAGCAGTCTACAGTGAAATAAAATAGTAAGGAAAAGGTTACCAATTTTTCATAAAGCTAAATCTATATAAGCTATAGAACAGTCTTTAACCCTAAAAATACGCACCTCTTAATGTTTTGGTACTATCATGAAATGACCAAGACAACAAATCACTGGGGGAAAGAGGTTCTAACACACTCACTTTGCAAAACAATAAGTTGACTGATATACCTAGTCTTCCAATGCTGTGTATGTGTGTGTAATCAGAACAACGTGATACAGAGAATCCACCCACAGAGAATCCATTCAACCTCTGAATGATCAAATAGTATTCTAGAGTTTCTCATACAAGGAAGCATAAAGACAGTATCTGAATAGATTTGCAGAAACCAGGATTAATGAGTTTTGTCCACATTTTGATGGCAACAAGTTTGAACATGTGAGTTTGAATCACTAATATATTTAAAGCATTACATGTATTTTCAACACTCAAAATTACATAAAGAAACCCAAGTGTACTTGGTGGTTTTATAGCTGAAAGCAACTGCTAAAGAATGTTTCATTTTTCAATTTACAGTCCTATCTTTTAATATTCTAAGAGTTCTACCAATGTAAGACTTCTATCCAATTACATTTCTACAAAAGAATTGCTCTCTAAGGCATTTCACTTCAACTGAAAATGTCAATTTCATTATAGGACATTAAAAATTCTGAATGTCACTTGGCCCTAGGCAATTGGTCTTGATTAAACAAAAATCAAACCTTAACACAAAAATATATCATACATGAAATTACTTCTAAATGTTTACCTGGAGAATCTTAAAAAAGTAGGCCGCCAGGCCATGGCCGGGCGTGGTGGTTCATGCCTGTAATCCTAGCACTTTGGGAGGCTAAGGCAGGCAGATCACCTGAGGTCAAGAGTTTGAGACTAGCCTGGCCAACATTGTGAAACCCCATCTCTACTAAACATACAAAAATTAGTACGGCATAGTGGCACATGCCTGTAATCCCAGCTACCTGGGAGGCTGAGGCAGGAGAATCACTGGAATCTGGGAGGCAGAGGCTGCAATGTGCCGAGATCAAACCACTGCACTACAGCCTGGGTGATGCATTGAGACTCAAAAAAATAAAAAAATTAAAAAGTAGGCCAGGCCAGATGTGGTGGCTCACACCTGTAATCCCAGCACTTTGAGAAGCTGAGGTGGGTGGATCACTTGACGTCAGAAGTTCAAGACCAGCCGGGCCAACATAGTGAAACCCCATCTCTACTAAAAATACAAAAAATTATTGGAGCATGGTGGCAGATACCTGTAATCCCAGCTACTTGGGAGGCTGAGACAAGAGAATTACTTGAACACAGGAGGTGGGGGTTGCAGTGAGCTGAGGTCCCACCATTACACTCCAGCCTGGGCAATAAGAGCAAGACTCCGTCTCAAAAAAAAAAAAAAAAAAAAAAAACTAGGCCACATTCATTTCAATTACAGTAAATGAAGTTGTTTTGTCAAATTGTGCTGGATTTATTGTTATAATCAGGTAGCTGTCAAGAATGTCGTAGAAAAAGGCGCTTGCTGCATAACAAAGATGCTGTGCTAGGTTTAACTCAGACTATACTGCACACTGACACGAATTTTTAAATTTGAGTCAATAAAACCAGAATTGGCTACAGGTGTCACTACCATAAAACAGAAAGCATCTTATTACACTGCAGTTCTGTTTACTAAAACATTTGGTTATGTTAATTTTCTCAATGACTACAGGAGGAAGCTTTCTTTCCTGTCTATGCTAACCTATTTGCAAATATATATATATATATATATACACACACACCTCAACCTCCGAAACACAGACCTCTTATCTGTATTCTATTTCCAATAAAAATCCAAGCAAACCCTCATATTTTAATTGTACTTCAAGCTATTTTTTTAGTGATGACTCTTTTTTTTTTTTGAGACGGAGTCTTGCTCTGTTGTCCAGGCTGGAGTGCAATGGTGCGATCTCGGCTCACTGAAATAAACACCTCCCAGGTTCAAGTAATTCTTTTGCCTCCCGAGT